GGGGAGAGGTTGCGGGCGATGATGCTGTTGGCCATCCATGTTGAGTATTGAGTGAGGTTGTAGACTGGGGAGTTGGAAAGGGGCGGCTAATGCCGTGGCGGCAAGGATGGGAGTAATGGGTCGCATTATGATATGTGGAAGACTGGACTGGGGTGACCGTGAAAGGGGTATGTTGGGAGTCGTGGTGTTCTCTACTTTGAAGGGTGAAGGCAGAAGTTATACTGGATGCTGGGTAGCTCTGATGTGCGGGGATATCGGGACCGGGTAACATTGGCGGTACCTTTGCGATACTGCAGCTGCAATGAGCGGACGGGATAGTGCTAATTGTTTCGTAACGGTACGATACCTCGACGTTGAACCCGGAGATGAAGTGCTATACGTGGATAAATTTGGACCTCCTGAAAGCCATCCATCGGAACAATCATCCCGCTTACAGACTTGCGAGGGGCATTTTGGGGGTCTGATTACCGATATTGGTGAGGGAAGCGAAAGGTAATCCGATTTCAGATCTTGTGTCGAACAACGATAACCTCCGAAAGGTTAAAGTGCCGCCCCTCCCCCATTGTCATCATCGTCATCATCATCCTCGTCTTCATCCTGTTCCCTACCCGTTTGAGTATGCACGTTGACCTCCTCGACCTTGTCATGCAGATGAAGGCCCCGGAGATCTTCAACATTACCCTCCATGGCTTGCATGGAGTCCAAAGATGCAATGCTGTCCACATCATTCTCAATGCCCGGCGCCGGCTCGGCATCAGCTCGATGCACAATCACAGACGAATTCTCGGCCCAATCCGCCACCGTGCCTGCCCTCGTCCCGGCGTCTGTCCCCGCGTCCGTCTGATTCTGTGTCAACCGATCATCGAGTTGCATCGTAGCCGACCAAGTGTTCGAGTCTTCGTGCTTATAGCTCAACGGGCTCTTCTTCTTGATGACATTAAACACTTCGGTCCTGACGCGCTGCAGAATCCTGTCCAACATGATCTGCCTCCTTTTGACTGCTTCGGGGCCGTGAAAGTCGTAGACGTCTGGCAATCGCCACTTTGGATACAAGTTTCCATGGGAAGCTCGAACCTCGACGCCCGATCGGGACTCTTCAAAGTAGTATTTGCATAACTTGCAGGTGGGTTTGCTTGAGCCGATATAAGGCCACGAGTTGAAGAACATGGTCGGACTGATTTCGCCTTTGCCGCGATCCGTAAGGAGCCAATGGTGCAGGAGCACTTCGGAATGGACGGCCAGTTTCTTGTTTGATTCGTAGGCGTCTACTAGTCTGGTGTCGAGATTGTGCATTTGCAAGTCTTGCACAAAGCGCTTGAAGATGGTCATCAGTTTCTCGTTGGAGGTCATGCGGCCAACGATGCTCTCGGCTTGAAGAGATTTTTTGCGTCGGGGCGTGTCCTGGAGGTCAGCGGAGGGAATGGCGACAATATGGATTTTGCCTTGGAAGAGATGTGGCCATTCGTCGCGGGCTTTGAAGAAGGAGTGCACCGAGGCGCGGTAGGCCCGGATGCGCTGGGCGACGTGCACTAGATCAGACCAGCATTCCATACTGGCGTGGCCAGCCATGGCGGTGCGGCCGGCAGCGGCGCGGGCAATGAGGATGGCATTGAGGCGCGTGGAAGCGAAGATGCTCTTGAGTTTTCGGGTGATGGTGTTGCATTTTTGGTCGTCTGGGCATGTTAGTCTGTATCGACGGACGGCGAGGCCATGACCGGATTATGGTGTTGGTGACTTACACTCTGCTTCCGACGTCATTTCCGTGACGGTATAGTCCTCTGACTCGAGCAAGTCCTGTAGCCCGTTGGCTATCTCGCGATCCTCCTCCTTCTCGTCCACCTCACACTGCCGCAAACACTCTTCTGCCTTTTCCCTCAACGACTTGAGATAAAACTTCACCCTGGGCCGATTGAAGCGGAGGACAGTCTGCCACAGCTCCCTCTCGGCCGCCTCTCTCCCCTCCCTATCACTCTTTGACGGAGCACTAGCTACCTTTTCCAAAACAGTACGCAGGAACTGTGCCGTGTGCTCCAGATGGCGAGGTGTAGCTTGGTTGACACCAAAGACGTAGAGGACCTCTTGCTCAGCTGCCAAGACATTGCTAGTGTCAAGGACCATGATGGATGTCACCATATTCCCGCCCTTTTCTCGATCACAGACATGGGCAAGCCTGTAGACGAAGGCCTGGAAGAGCTGTTTGGGATCCTCGTCGTCAACGCGCATGGCCTGGGAGGGGCCAGATGATGGTTCGCCAATGGGCCCCTTGAGGGCTTCGAGGAGCATGATAGGCTCGTAGAAACGGTGGAGGATTTTGGGAGCCATCTTGATTGGAGTGCCATATTGGATGTCTGAGGACTCCATGGTTTCCATGGTCGACTGGCCGAGTGGGCGGGTGGTTTCAGTGCCGTTGTTCTTTGGGCTCGAGGACGGGGTCTTGACTGTCCTGTTTGCTGGAGAGGACGTGATCGGTTCCAGTGACTTCGTGGGTAATGTGGATGTCCTTCTACCTATTCCCTCGACAATATCAGGGCTCCCGTTTGCTGGTGTGGAAAAATCGAGTTCACGCCGGCGGATTCGGTGGATGGTTGTTGGCAGAGTCAGCGCAATAACGGGCAACGATCATCTGAGACATTTTCTTCTTTTCTTGTTCCCGACCACCCTCTTGCCGTGTTTGATGTTTGGACATGCAACAACACATGTCGTCGAAATAAGGCGTCAAATAAAACCAAAAAAAAAAGGCGACCAGAATTGAAGATTGGGTGACAGTGAGGGCAGTGCAGTGCATGTCGGGTCCTCCCACTTCGTTCTTCCCCACCGACGATGCCTCCCTTCCACCAGCCCCCCGCTCCTTGTGGTTTTTGTTAGTGCATCAACCAATCATCACCGTTGAATCAACCCTACAAGAGACAGGAATATCCACAGCCAGCACGACACAAAGCAGCGCAGACGCCGCCATGACTGCAGAATGAGGTCTCGATGCCTGCCGCCGATTACGTTACTTGTAAACTTGGGTGAGACTGTCCGTGCACTGTCAGTACTTTACAGTGGTAAAGGTAGCATCCAAACTGAGTTGAATTGTGTACTCTTCAACTTTCAGAACACCAGAGTGTTTTCGCAACACAACTGAGCTGAACGTCATCATTCATATCTCGTCAATGTATCGTTTCCTAACCTAGGCTTTTCTCGGCTATGGATTCCCTGATGGAGTGAAGCTGGGAGGGCAACAAGACAACCTCAAGAAGACGAGGCTCGCGCCCCACGGACTCTCTGCCCAAACATTCTGCTCGATATAACCAATCTCTAGCCGACCTCGTCTACCCACCATCCTGCGTGAGGCCCGACATGACCAGCCAATCACAATCAGGCCGGTTACCAAAGGAGGATGGCGTGTTGTCCACTCTTTGGACAAGGCATTTTTCAACCATGTTTTCTTCAGACTCTCGACGAGATATCGTCTGTTTGTTGCTGGATGTTCGACACTCCAAGTGGTCACATCCAACGGGTCACTGCCATTGATAGACGGGAGAGGCCTACAGCCCCCAAACAACCCACTCAGCTCTGTTGACGTCTTCACTTTTTCCCTCACTCTTCCTTGTCAAAGTGGAACACAAGCGTCCTTTTAAAAGGGCCTCACGCCTTAGTAGGCCTCGTTTGATCCATCCCTTCCCCTCTTCTCTTTCATAACTACCCATGCTCACATCATCTCTCTTGTGATCACCGATACGACAAGCCACATCATCACACAACTCCTTGACAACATCGCAGTGTCCGCATTGCGGATTTGCTCTGACGCCATGGGCGACCGCGTTCCAGCTCCCCCGGGTGTGGTGGATGAATGTATCGACCCCAGCCTGTTGACACTGCACTCGCTGCACATGGACGTTCAATGTACATCCCCTCACCCTACCCACGACGGTGTCATGCAAGACCTAACACGTCGCAGCGGTATCCACGCCAGACCACGTGGACTTCGATGACTGTGGCACTGTCGAAGATGGCGGCTCGGCTCGTTCTCCATCCACCGTCAATTCGCCGTCCACTTCGTCAGACTTCTCGTCGTACGCCGGAAGCACTGCCGAAAGCCCCAGTGACGTCGGCTTCTTCCCTGCGGGAATAGAGCAAGACTCGCCGGCTGTTGCACAAAGCCCTACAGGTAACACCATGCACGGCATTCCACCTGCGCAGCATAGGGCCGTCCAAGAGATGGCCATGCCAGCCAATGAGTTTGCTGCTCTCCTAGATGGCTATGCCAGAGCCTACAACCAGGCGCAACTCGATATGATTCAGGCGTATGACTTCAACAACACCATGCACTCTATCCCAAACCCCCCAGCGATCATGATGCAAAGCAATGGCAATCCTAGCTCCGAGACTTAGTGGACGAGCGATTCTATCCAGAACTCACACATGCTGGTCCGGCCGTCTATCCACGCCCGTGGGTTGGCTTTACCGCAACGCTGTGGGGGATTCCCAATGCAACAGCATCATGATCAATTGAAGGGGGGTGAATATGTGTGTGATGGGAAGGCACTTTTCACACTTGGAAACGAACAACAAAACGCACCGGACTCGTCATTCATTCAGCAGCAGGGGCAGTCGTTCTTTCAATATCCGCCAATCATTCCACAGGAACCGCTCATTCAGGGTTGTTACAACCCGCAACTTACCAACGCCACACTGACTACAGCCATCTCACCAGAGACACCGATGGCCTTTACGACACCTATGAACGGTGCCTGGTCATCAGGTGCTCAATACCCACCCCCTCAATTCCTCCCATCACCCACTTCCCTTTCATCACCTTCATACCCAACACCATCGTCCATCTACTACACCCGCCCCCCATCCCCAACCTCACCAATCAACCATACCTCATCAGCTCCCTCTCCTTCACCATCCACATCCTCCACGTTCTCTTCCCGCTCCGCTTCCAGCTCCTCCTCCAGCAGCCGAAAATCCCCTGAGAAGAAACCCTGCGAAGCCCCCGTCGACGGCCGCTACGGTAAATGCACCTACAAAGGCCACTCCAAAGAACTCAAGAAACACTACCGCACCCATCACAAAAAGTATGCCGAGGAAATCGGCATTTTGCTGGACCCGTTCGAGTGTGACGATTGTAAGACGTCGTTTGTGCGAAAGGATTTCTTGGCACGGCATCAGCGTGTTCAGAGGGGAAAGACGATGTCGGCTTGTGAGCGGGCGATGAAGAACAAGAAGGGGAAGGGGAGGGTATGATACGGGAAAGTGAGAGGGAGGGGAGGGGGATTGGATATGGTGGAAGGGAACAGGGGGATTAGATGATACCTATAGGTACATAGGTACATACCTACCTCAGGTAAAGGAGGGTATGGGATGAGAATCGCGGAGGGGGTATAGGTGGGTGTGCCGGCCTGGAAAGGCTGGAGGGAGGAATGAGGTGGAAAAAAAGAAAGGCCGGTGGACTTTTGCTGGAATATGCAGTCTACCGGCTTTCATAGCGGGTTTCTCAGGTGGTGGCTCATGAGTTCATGTGTACAAAGGTTATGGTGTGGTTCTTGTTCTAACTCCAAAGCGGTTCTATGTCAGTCTATGGTTTTTCTGTTTTCGGTTGCTTCTTTGATATCAAAGTTTCCAGGTTGTCTCATGGTCGGTTTATGATTCTTGTTTCATCTCGTACTACTTTCCTACCTCTACATTTTACTAGTCTTCATGTTTTGGTCTTTGTGTTTTTCTTGGTATGTGTGTTCGGTCTCATAGGTTAGGTACCCAACAACAAACTGTTCTTCACACGATAATATAGACGCTGAGATCGGGTAGGTGAAGCAGGACGAAGCTAACTTGGGCTTGGTCCTGCTTTCTTACCTACTTGATTCACAGCGTCTATACTATCATGGGTTGAGCGGGTTGTTGCATGTTGGCGAGTTATGTTACGAATTAACGACCGTTTTAAATCTGAATTTTTTTCCAGTATTTCTTACACATTCTCCTACAATTCTTCATATAACCGGCTACGATGCTCTATCGAATTCTTAAACAATAGATGTGATTCGGGCCCTCCATCATCCTCGCAATCGCGCCGGTCTCGATTCCCTCTCCTAGTCCACTCCGGATCCACTATCAAACTAAGTCCGTCGCTCCTTCCGTTTCCGTTCCCACTGCCGGTCTGCCATCACACAGGACAATGAACCTGTCTTAGCACGGGATCCAGCCCTCTTCTTTCAACTCCCTCGGCTTCCCGTCTAGACGCCAAGCGGTTGAGTTTCGGGACAACCAAGCTACCTACATTTCGGACCGCCGATCCCGCTCTGTTGACAACTTCAGCTCCCTATTTCTGGTCCCCTTTTACGCTTTCGCGGTCGGTATTACCGGCCACCGGATTACCGACCATCGCACCACCGCACCACCGCATCACTACATGACATTCAAGAATTGAGATCGAGATTCACGAACTGGTAGTCTAGTACCAGCGCACTTCCCACATAACCGAACCAGTCCGCTTGCCGATTCGCTTGCCGTTTCGCTTGCCGCTCACTTCCCCAGCCGGAGTCCGGAGTCCGGAGTCCGGACAATTTGCTACCTACGTACCTTCCCTTACCAAGTCTTGTTAGCTTCGTTAGCGGTCTTGTCAACGAACAAACGTCATGACTCGAGGCAAGCATGACCAGACGGCATCGTCTACACTAGTATTCGTCATTCGCATCTTCATGCTTGCGGTTAGGTTAGTTGCTCAGATGATATAGTCGACCCAGGTAGGTAGTATGGCAAGTGCTTCGGTTCCTGCAGTGGCGCCGCGGAAACTGGGCGTGTCGTTGGTACAACGTTCTGATGGAGAAAAAAAAAAGATAAAAAAAGAAAAAGATAAAAAAGAGAAAAGAAGAAAAAGATAAAAAAGAGAAAAAATTGCGGCTGTGGGAAAAAAGACCTGACAATCGACCGACGGAATTACCCTACGTGTCCCTACGCTCCACACACGTCAACCATTTCCATCCAGTAGTTCGAATCATGATCATCCGTATGCATTCTTGGAGCTTTTCTTTGTGAATGTCGCGTGAAATTATGATGTGGTTGTCATTTCTCTTTATCGTCCCTTTTTCTTGTTTCATTCCCCCCTTTGGTTTTCTTTGAGGATCTGGGAATATAAAAAGCTTCTTAGTTGGATTGCCAAAGAAGACTAAAAGAAACCAAGAACCGGTGATGCCCGAACTTGAACTTCCGGGCATTAGACTATAGTCCACGTGGAATGTGTCGATCGTTACTCACTTCTTAGGGCCCAAGTCTACGACTAGCCAATTTGAAATTACCTAAGGAAGGGAAGGTAAGTAGAGAAGAGAAGAGAAAGGGCAGACTAGTAAGGCTAACGCTAAAATCAGCCGCAAACACAGGGTCCCGATCATTTGGTTCAGTTAGAATGCAAATCACTGTCTATCCATTCAAGATCAGTTCGTTATCCGGACGTTCGGGTGTCACATGGGCTTTTGGGCTTCGGGGATCTACAGTCCCGTCAATCTTCAACTTGAGTGTTTTGTCACCTGTATGCCTTCCAATCTTGGGACGTGGGATATGCATAGAGATAGATATGCACCCCTTCGGAGTTTAAGCTTCATCTTCTTTCCTGGTCCTTGGGCCCTTAAGGCCGGTTGGGGGTTAATAAACAAGCATAAAAGATGGCAACCAGTCGCAAATACCGCCACTAGGACTGATTAATTGCCTTTCACAGACGAGCGAGAGCGCCGTCCGACTCACCGACGTCGTGCTCGCTGCTACCGGCCATTGCGGTTAGGGGAACCGAACGGAAATCATTGTATATAACCGAACGGTTAATCTGATTGTGCTGTTGATTGGTTGTGACTGGTAGAGATAGCCGACTGCCCGGTCAAGCGTCATGTGGTGTAACTTCACCGTCAAAGCACCAGTTACAGACTTGCAGTGGTCGGTCGAGATGCCTAGTCATATACATACCCAAGTTACATTGCAATTGTATCCGGCTCGGTGGTACTGATATCCAGCATCTAGCATCCAGGTTATTAGTGTATATCCAGTGACCCAGGTCTTATGTATCTCTTGATAATTGGCACAGGGCATTTAAAATGCATTAAGGATCTTGACAGCATTGGTTAACTAGATTTACCCGGATCGGAATCCCATTGGTGGGGGTTTTTTTTCCCAAACAGCTACCGAATCAAGTGAGGCCCGACTTTGAAGTCGCATTCTGGTGAGCCGGTAAACCGGTACTGCGGTTAGTGGTCGGCTCGGCCCCATTCGCGGCGTTCTGGGGTTATTTGGTCGTGTTCTCTCGATTCAGGGGCCAAAAGTCTGGACTATCTGCGAGTTTGAAACAGGAGACGCCAGCGGAATTCGGATGAATGGGTTCCCTTGGATTGGGGGCAGTCGTCAATCTTGAAGGAACCTCCTAAACTAGGTCGCAATGTTAAACGGTGCATGTGCCCGAAGCAAGGGGAATTTTCGGGAGTGCGTATCCGGAATATAAGATGAGACGTACCTTTTGAGCCTACCAATGGAACTCTATACGCCCAAGTAAAAACCCTAAGTCCTAACTACCTTAGTAACTCTTCTTCCGACCGCTGTATTAACCTTACTATAACCCGATATAAAGTCTTTTACTCCAAAAAGCCGGCTTCTGGTCGCGTTGCGTTTATAGGTTCAATTAGTATTTCGTTATAGTAGCTTTTCGTAAAGTTATGATGGAAGCAATAAAATAAGAGTGACTTTGAGACTTGGCACCAAGAGCGACGGCTTGCCCACCAGGTGGTGGGAGGTACGTCTCATCTTGTATTCCGGATACTCAATACCTAATTTTCCAGCCAGCCAGCCAAGCTGACGCAGGGAAAGTTACTTACAGAATCCAGCTATGGGCCACGAGCCCAAATGATTGACCGCAGCGGGGAAAGAAAAAGAAAAGAAACAAGAAAAAAGAAAACCGCGAAGACATGCGCGCCGAGATGACATTGTACGTACATACATATCTCAGTCGCTACACAGTCGCGACACGAAACATTGATAGAACGGATGGAGTTCATGGTGGATTATTCCCTCTCACTTTTTTGGAGGGGGTTTTGGGTCCCTCCCCTCCCCCNCCCCGTCCCCGTCC